CTCTCTCTCTCTCTCTCTCTCTCTCTCTCTCTCTCTCTCTCTCTTATTCAGTTACCAGCCTTTTTGTCTTTATCTTTGTCTGCAAAACTTAACTGTATTTATGCCACCAATGAAAAAAAGTCTAGTTCTACTGTTCACGTGTTGTTCCGGTCATGTGTTCTTTGTTTCGCTGACGTCATCCTCTTGCCTGTTCTTGCTAGTTACGAGCCCGTCCACATTTTCCTTGTCACCATTGTCCACCCAGTACTTCTCCTTTGATAAGTTACCGGCTGTAGAAAGGAGCCGTTTGTAGAGATGAAGACAGTGCAACACCTTGCACGGTAAAGAATTCCCGTGTCGACATATCTCGGCGACCCGGTTCTGTCAGAAAAGATATCTCTGTTGTTTTACGAGGTTCGTAAATCGAGGGGTGTAATCGCCAGCATATCATTGTCCTGTCACGCCGGGCTCCCATGCCTGTCCGGGATGGCCGAGGGATGCTAGGATTTACTAAATAATTAAGGGAATAAAAGTGACGGGGAAATAGCTAATTCAGACTCTGGCAGCGTGGTCTTTCTGAGAGCAAGGAAAACCGAGAGTGTCGCGTCGAGAGGGGAGAGAAAGAAAGGAAGGACGAGGGCGGTGATGAAGGGCGAGTGACGTCACAAGTAGAAATGTGCACACAATTATAGGGAGGTACAGTCGAACTTGCTTTAACCACCACTTGTGTAAGACAATCACCTGCACAAACGGCCACTTCCCATTTATTCCGTTGTATTTTTGTAATATTACTATGACACTGGGTGTGACACCCACCTGCCTAATACGGCCACTTTTCTCCTGGACAATGGGTGGCCGTTGAAGAAAGTTTTGACTGTGCTGAGTTGGACAGGCGACTGCCAGGGCTGCTCGGGAATGCGGCCCAACAAAGTAGGTCATAAATAGAATTATTCTAAGTTCCTTGGGCTCAGCCAAGAGAGAGGCGGGTTTGTTTAGGGGTTGTTTTTTTTGTTTTGTTGTTGTTGTTTTGTTTTGTTTGGGGCGGAAGCAGATGTTACGTACAGATTGCATATTTTTAAAAATGACAACATTTAAATT